TTTCTCTAATTGCCTCCTCATCAAATTCGTCCATACCTTTCAATACATCTTGCTTGGCTTCGGTTTCTGATTTGGCTTCTTTTTTTCATTGTTCTTTCTCGGCTTCATTTTTACATTCAAGCGAACAAACTTCCTCCCCAAAATTAGTTTTGAAATTCTTTGGGGGGTCTTGATATTGACCTTTTAATTGGGAATATTCGCAAACTCGACAACCGTGCTTCGGACAATATTCGCTGTAAAATTGTTTGCCGTTTTTTAGAGTGATAGAATTCTTTATTTCCTTTTGGCAAACTTTATTTCAAAGTAAACCTTTTTCGACAACAAAGGGGCATGTTCTAGCCATAATGTTAATTTTATTGTAATTTGGTGGATCCTGAAGGACTTGAACCTCCAACCACCCGGTTATGAGCCGGGTGCTCTAACCAGTTGAGCTAAGGATCCTTCTATAAATATTTTTTTAAATCTGCTCGGCTAACCTTTCGTAACTCACTAGCCGGTAGTTTGCTGGTTATTAAATTGCCGATACTTCATAATTTTTGGCAGAAACGCCAACTACCAATAATTTTACTTTCTTCGTAAATTAGATCAGAACCCCAAATATTATTTTCCAGCAAAAAAAGCCTTAAACTATCACAGCCGTATTTTTCAATAAGTTCGTCGGGTTCAACTCCATTTCCCAAAGATTTTGACATTTTTTTTCCATGTTTGTCTCGAATTAAGCCATGTAATAATATCTGTTTAAAAGGCACTCGGCCAGTGAAATAAGTCCCTAGCAATATCATTTTCAATACTCAAAAAAAAAGAATATCATAACCGGTTATGAGGGTGGTTATTGGATAGCAATTTGGTGGAGGAGAGGGGAATTTTTTTCCCTCTTTGGCAAGGGCGATTAACGGCCATAAGCCGCTGGAAAACCAAGTATCCAAGACGTCTTTTTCAGGTTCTCAATCCAATAACGAGCGATGGTTGTGGTCGAGTATCTTTTTTTGTCCTGGATTTTCACAAACGCACAATTTTTCGCCTACATAAACTTCGCCCGTCTTTTTGTGATATCAAGCCGGAATCTGGTGTCCCCACCATAATTGTCGAGAAATACACCATTCCCTCGTTTTGTTTTTTCACTCCTCTATTTTTTTTTGAAATTGATTGGGTAAAAAGTCTATCTCTTTCAGAAGATTAGGGTTTTTTTGTTCTATTTTTTTAATTAAGACTGGTAAATTCAAAAATCATTGGCGTGAAAGTAAAGGTTCAATGGCTACTCCTGATTTAGTAGAACAAGCGAGATTAGTTTCATATTCTTCAATTTTTATGCAAATGCCTTTTTTTTCTAACTCTTTGACAAACTCTTCGCGGATACTGCCAATTTCTTGTCCTTGTCAAGAGTCGGCCAATTCATTCAAAACGCCTTTTTCGTCGCAGCAACTAATTACTGGTAATTGATATTTTTTTCCCAGTTCGTAATCGGTTGAATCATGACCGGGCGTGCATTTTAGAACACCTGTGCCAAAATCGGTTCTGATATTTTCATCTGCCAAAATGGGAATAATTTTTTCCGT